AGCCTGAAGAACCTGCAGTAACGCCGTAGCGTATAAGGCGGAGAAGGCTTCTCCACAGGCTGTATAAGCATCGCCGGACAGGCCAGACGAGTACCTACAGACCCGGGAGAGGAGGCACGGTTCGCCCTGCCGGGTGGACATAACTGCATCGCAACCAACCGCTCCACCGGGGGAACCCCCGTATACCCCCTAGCTGCACCACCGTCGAGGGTGGTGAGGGAGGAGGAACCAGCAGGTCGGTTTCCGGCAGTAAAAGGTGCCGTCCATGACCTGGTGAGCTCCTCATGCACCTCCGGGAAGAAAGGCACCGAGGCGGGGCGAGCCACCCCGAGAAACCAATCGTCCAGAGCTCTCCCTCCGATGCAGTGATCAACATCTGGTCATCGGGAGGAGCCCCAAGGGATACCGCTGGTACGCTTTTTGAAGAGGGCCCAGCGCGTTCCTTCGGCGGCTCGGCTGGCTGCGGAGCGCTGGAGGAGTAGTGGGCCCCCGAGGGTTGGTTCCCTGGCTGCCGCCAGGACGAACACTAGATTGCGGCAGAGGCAACGGAGCTCCGCCCCCCTGGAGGAACCGGAGCCTGGCCCGCAGCTTCGAGATGGTAATCTTCCCGCAATGGGAACAAGACTCATCCGCGAACGCCACCTCAGCATGCTTCATGCCCAGACATGTGAGGCAGCGATCGTGACGCCGTTTGCAGCACGACAAGGGGTAGTGCAGCCTGAAGTGCGCAACCCACTCGACACAGGAACGACCACCGCTGAAGCGCCGTCCGCCAACACAAAAAGCTCCCGAGAGCGCGCTAGACTCGTCACACAGGAAGCAGTTTGGTAGGAGCAGAACGATGTTGTCGCTCGGCTCCGAAGTGAAAAGCTGGTATGCATTGCACCAGCTGCCTTTTTATGCTCACGCTGTTATCAGCGGCAGCTGGATGCAATCATCGCATGCCAATATGCATTGGCTCGTTTAGTTTACACTCGAAGTGGATTGGTCTCTCTAAGCGAGATCCCAATTCATCGGTCACCGATGTGACTCGGAGGGAACAGGTTTTATATATATGTGTGTGTGTGAAGAGTTCAGATGCAAAAGCCTCTAAGTGCCGTTTGAAATTTTCTTCTAAAATGAGCATTTTCAGGCTCCTATGTGTGGGTTCAGTAATTTCACTTTAATGGCAATGAATAGTTTATTTTCTTTCCCATTTAAATAAAATAACTGAGCATAAACACAGGAGCCTGAGAAAATATCCATTTTAAAGAAAAATTGTAGATGGCTTTTGCATCTGAACTCTTCATACATACATACATATATATATATATACATACATACAATTAAACATAAAAGGGGGCTAGGGTTTTTCCTGTAAATCATATTCTTCTATAAAGGACAAAAGATTTAGGCTATTGCATGGGAAAAATTGACATACACAAATCTAAGTACTTGAAGATGAAACCAATGTTTTGTGCATTTTATAATGAGTTTATTTCTTATAAAAAGCCCTCAAAGTGATGAAATAGAAAAATGCAATAGATCTTTGTCCTTTATAGAAGAATATGATTTACTTGAGCTTCCCTCTGCTCTGTATCTTGCTCTCTCATTGGCTGTAGGTCATCACCGATGTATTTTTCAGTCAGAACTCATTTCACAGATATTCATCCAGATATTTTGCATGCCAAATATTTCACAGGCATCAGCGACACATTGGCAATTCTCTCAGGTCGCGTCTTTGATCATTCACATTGCGTGATTGTCACTCACGTGAATGAGCACCAATTTGCCTCCGATTTCGGGCATTTGTCAGAGATTACGCAAAACCTGTCGGCGAGTGAAAATCGGGGCTAAAATCGTGCAGTGTGAACTCGGCATAAGTGTAAAAACAAGGCATTGCTGTAAATTTGAATACATCTTTTAGTCACTATAATCTTTTGAATTGGTTAACCAAAAAGATTTAGTAGATTACCGTTTCTTCATATTTCATATTGATGCCAGTATATGAGTGAGTCATTGAATTGATTTGTACCAAAATGCAACTTTGGTTTTACGAATTAAGACAATTGACTCACCTTGTATGAGCCGGTTGTGTAAACCACAGACAGATTGAGATCTCTATCTCCGCTAGCGTCTAATTCATAGTGTCCTCCCATACCTGAACACACACACATCGATATCTCATTAAATTTATCATAATTCGTTTTTTTGTAATCACAAGGACCCATTTCTTTTGAACAAATGACCTAAGTATTGAGATATGGGTTCTAGCGAATGTTATATGATATGAGCAATGATCCGGTGTCATACCGTTTTTTTTAGGACGCACTTACCCTCGAAGCTCATGTTTCTGAAAGGCTGTTCAATGATGCCACTGAATGGCTGCTGTTTCATCACCTTCAGGTTTTGTCTCATCATATCGCCGAAGAGAACCACGGCATCATGGTAAGCCACTACATAATCATTCAGCGCCTGCAGGATGGGAATTGTCAAATGAGACAGAACAATGCGTTAAGGCCCGTTCACACCAAGAACGATAACTATAAAGATAACATTCTAAAAATCGTTTCAAATTTAAGAGAATAACAGAGTTCACACCATGACTATAACAATATAGAGGAACAATATCGTTGGGATCACTTTCAGAATTTTTTTTACAGCTGATTAACGATAAAACACTAGCTATGTTTCCATCCAAAAATGTGAATTAAACGAGCGCAAAACTGGAATATCGCATAAAACATTTGCGAATAATGCCAAGTTCACACTACACGACTTAAAACTTCGGCAGATCGCCGTGTTGTTCAGACTACATGACTTGATTGTCTGTCTTTAAATCGTTGTGGTGTTCACACTATGTGACACTACGTAAGTAATCTGCAACCGGGGATTACACACTACACGAGCTGACAACAAGCACGTTTAACTTGAAGCAGCGCTGCGCAGAGTGATCAGTGTATGACATCAAAGTACTATGCTTTCGAATCGCTCTCGCGGTACTTTGATGTCATACACTGATCATTCTGCGCAGCGCTGCTTCAAGTCGAACACGCCTAACAACTCTGTCACCCAATGACTCTATCCCATCCCCAAACCACGTTTTGTCACGAAAACACGCGCGAGAAGTGGAACGGGAATGGCGTGAAACAATACGTGAAACAGGAGTTGTTTATTTGAAAATGGACGTCGGGAAGAAATGGCGCTGCAAGCTGTTTGCGCGATGATCTGTTCTGAAAAAAATCGCTCCATTTATTGTGTCCAAACTTTTCTTAAAGCCATGTTGCAGCTGCTGACCTCAACCCATGCCTATCTCAATGGCTGTAGCTCGTCACGACACCTGACACCACGTGATGTTGAGTCGCCGACCGGTCCAGATATTTAGCATGCTAGATATTTGTTTGCTGTCGGCAAGGTGTCGGCGACGCGTCAGCGAGCCTCTTTGATGCGTCGTTGAGTAGTTCACACATAAAGATTGCCGAGCGCTGATGATCCGCTGATTTTCCCCCGATCACAGCCCGACCTGTCTGCGAGATCGTTAACTTCGGACTTAAAATCCTGTAGTGTGAGCTAGGCATAAAGCACCATTTCCATCCAATGAGTAAAAGAGAACAAAACCGCCACTTCCTGATAAACCGGCACTATATATCACTAAGAAAAGTAGGAGAAGCCACTGAATATAATAATTTTTATATATAATAAATTACTTGCACCTCAGAGCGAGCAGACGAATCACAGTAAATGCTATCATTGCTTTTGGAGGTGGATGCTGCTGTTTGGGAACACAGTCGTCTAAGACAAATACTTTGACGACAGACTTTGTTCAGGCATTTCAGAACGACCAAACAACATTTCAGATGCTGTGGAACGAGATCGGTCCGCTGGTTAGTCAAGTTGTCCCGTCCCATCGTGCAAAGTCACATGACTCTTTTGATGCACATGGTGGAATTTATTCGGTAAATGTGTTTCCATCGTAGTTTATGCAAATGTTTTCCTATCGGATAAAAAGTTTATCGTACTCAATTGTGCGCATAAGTTTTTAATGCACATTTTTAGAATTTATGCGCATCTTGGCATTTCCATCCAGCGTTTTTTTATGCGATATTCCAAAATGCGCATAAAAATAGGTTGATGGAAACATAGCTATATTGCTATGTTTCCATCCAAAGATTAAAATTAAACTTGTGCACAAAACTGGAATATCACATAAAACATTTGCGGATAAAGCACCGTTTCCATCCAACGAGTCAAAGAGAGCAAAATCGTCACTTCCTGGTAAACTGGCACTAAATATCTCTAAGAAAACTAGGAGAAGCCACTGAATATAATAATTTTCATATATGATAAATTAATTGCGCCTCAGAGCGAACAGACGAAACACAATAAATGCAGTCATTGCGTTCGGCGGCAGATGCCAGCTGTTTGGGAATACAGTCGTGTAAGACAATTATTCAGAAATACTTTGACGACAGACTTTGCTCAGGCATTTCAGAATGACCAAAACAACATATAGATGCTGTGAACGAGATCGGTCCACTGCTAGTCAAGTTATCCTGTCTCATAGCTCAAAGTCACATGACTTTCTCGATGCACATGGAGGAATTTATTCGGTAAATGTGTTTCCATCGTAGTTTATGCGCATTTTTTCTTATCGGATAAAAAGTTTATCCTACTCAAATGTGCGCATACGTTTTTTATGTGCATTTTTAGAATTTATGCGCATCTTGGCTTTTTCATCCAGCGTATTTTTTAAGCGATATTCCAAAATGTGCATAAAAATAGGTGGATGGAAACAGCTAATGACAACTAATCAGACTTCATTAAAATGTAAAGGGCTTGCATATTTGAAATAGCAGGCGACAGAAGCAAACAGACGTTGCACAGCAAACAGAGTACCATAAAACATAAAATTACCTCAGGTATTCAGCGCTAGTTTCGACAACATTGTCTTGCCTCCTCTGAAGTTGCAGTAGAAAACACGTATTGTTTTTATTCCACTAACAGTTACATTGACTAGGTTAGAGATCAGGGGCCTGTTTCATAAAACAAGTTTACCAAATAAACCAGGCTTATTTCAGTTAGTCTGACTTATTTTTAACTAAATCAACTGACAATAAGTCAGACTAACTGAAATAAATCTGGCTTATTTGGTAAACTTGTTTTATGAAACTGGCCCCAGATAGATTACGCTAGATTCATTGTTTAGATGCGCTTGAAACGTGCATGCTTAGGACATCTACTGGTTGAAGTTGTGTAAATTCAACAAGAACTACAAAAACAGACAGCTATCGTTTACTGGGGCCTGTTCTTCGTACGTCGCTTACATCCGAGATAAAATGTCACATCCAAGATGATATCATCGCGCTAATCAGGGTCTGGTAAGGATGTATCGATTAACCGCGGCCGGTTGAAAATCGATACAAATACGTGACGATTCAAATCGGTTGAGATGCTAAACAAATCGCGATTCATTTAGGGGTAGGAGTTTATAAGAATTCATGTCTGAGGGGAACTTACTGTCTTTAGAAAAGTTTAGATGGTATTATTTTCGTTTCC